CAGGCTCGATGATTACTGAAGTGTAGCAAGTTCCTCTCAGTCTTGCGAACATGGTGCTAACACTTGTGATTATGATGATGGTGATGATGATGGTGGTGGTAGTGGTGGTGATGGTGATTATTATGATGGTGATGGTGATGGTGATGATGGTGATTATTATGGTGATGATGGTGGTGGTGGTCTTTTCCATTGACTCAGGCCTTAGGTCAATACATAATGCACATGTCTGTCCTGATTTCAGTATCCTGAGCACTTCTCTATCCCCAAAGGCAACAAAGAATCCTTGCCTGCTTTCTCCAAAGCTGCCTGCCACGTGTGGGACAGTATGAGGCTAATCTCAGGTCCATCCACATAAGGACCTTCCTCAGAAACTGCTACTCTATTTTCTCATGATGTCATTGGCAGGGTTTCTGAGTCTTCCCATTTTTATCTTAAGCTCAGAAAAATAGAGTGTTTACCTCAAGTTTTCAGAATTCCCAACTTATTTTGTTTCTTCTGTGTCTCTCTTCTTCTCTTCATTTCTTCTCTCTCTCTGTCTCTGTCTCTGTCTCTGTCTCTCTGTCTCCACTATCTCTTCCTTTTTATATCTTTTGATCTTCTTTTTTTTTAGGCTTACATATTAATATCTAAACTCAGTTATAGTAGTTCTTAGAACACTCCGATCTCTCTCACCAAAGCCAGTTTTTGTCTTTGTTTTCTTTACACCAAAACCACTTGCTAAGTCTCCTTGTGGACTTAGAAACTTGTTTGAAAGCTCAAGGCTGGGTTCTAGGCTGTGTTCTCACCCTCTCCAAATGATCAAAACCTTCACTGCAGTAGCTGGAGAAATAGCTGCAGGGCAACCGGGAAAACTGAGATTTTCAAAAAGGGTATTATTTGTATATTAATATAAATAATACAGGCTCACATTTACTGACAGCCTCCTCTAAACCTAGGTCTATCTATTCCCCAAACACTGCCTCATAACATTTATCTCTGTGGAAAAATAAATAGATCAAGGGAGAATCGTCCTTCTCAGACCAGGCTTAGTGATTATGCCATTCAAGAAATGTAAGTAGATTTGGTGCTTTTATTTATTTATTCATTTATTTTAAATTTTATTTTATTTTTCTATTGATTTTAGAGAGAGAGGAAGGGAGAGAGAGAGATAGAAATATCAATGAGCAAGAACATCGATTGGCTGCCTCCTGCATGCCTGTGACCCAAAACCTGGGCATGTGCCCTGACCGGGAATTGAATCTGTGACCTCTTGGTACACGGGTTGATGCTCAACCACTGAGTCACATCGGCCAGGCAGAAATGTAGGTAGATTTTAAAAAATATATAAAACTTCAAGTTCCTCTTATTTACTTTAAATAATAACAAGAACAAAGAATCCATTTGTTGAATATTATCAGTTAGTATATTTTTCCTAAATTTGTTGTCGTCTGTATCCCAAAGCATATACTATTCTGAATATGAGAATTGTTTAGATAATAATTTTTTTTTTTTTTTTTTCAAATCTTTATTGTTGGATGTAAAATGTATTACAGATGTTCCACATTTTCCCCCCATTGACCCCCCTCCTCCCCACTCCCATACCCCTCCCACCTTTTCCCACACTATTGTCTGTGTCCATTGGTTATGCATATAAGTTCTTTGGTTTATTTCTTCCCACCCCCCCCCCAACCCCTTTCCCTTTGAGGTTTGTCAGTCTAGCAATGAGTTTGTGCTTCTTAATCCCTTCACCTTTTTCACCCATTCCCCCAACCCCCTTCCCAACTGGCAACCAATAAAATGTTCTCTGTATCTATGAGAATGTTTCTGTTCTTCCTGTTCATTTTGTTTGTAGATTCCATTGTTGATAGATATGTATTCATTGCCATTTTGTTTGTTCATACATTTTATCTTTTTCTTCAAAAAGACCCTTCATCATTTCATACAATAACGGTTTGGTGGTGATGAACTCCTTTAACTTTTTCTTGTCTGGGAAAGTTTTTGTATGTCCATCGATTCTAAATGACAGCTTTGCAGGATAGAGTAATTTTGGTTGTAGGTTCTTGGTTTTCATCACTCTGAATATTTCTTGCCACTCCCTTCTGGCCTGCAAAGTTTCTTTTGAGAAATCAGCTGACAGCCTAATGGGTACTCCCTTGTAGGTAACTAGCTGCCTTTCTCTTGCTGCTTTTAATATTCTCTCTTTGTCTTGAACCTTTTGCATTTTGATGATGATGTGTCTTGGTGTGGGCCTCTTGGGGTTCATCTTGTTTGGGACTCTCTGTGCTTCCTGGACTTGTATGTCTGTTTCCTTCACCAAGTTAGGAAAGTTTTCTGCCATTATTGTTTCAAACAGGTTTTCGATTTCTTGTTCTCTCTCTTCTCCTTCGGGCACCCCCAAGATGCGAATGTTGGCACGCTTGAAGTTATCCCAGAGGCTCCTTACTCTATCCTCATTTTTTTTAATTCTTTTTTCTTTTTGCTCTTCTGATTGGGGATTTTTTGCTTCCTTATATTCCAAATCGATGGTTTGCTCCTTGGATCTACATACTCTATTATTGAAGCTGTGTAAATTATTCTTTATTTCAGTTAATGCCTCCTTTAATTCTAACTGTGTATCCATGATTTCTAACTGGTACTTTTTTATGCTCTTGATGCCCTCCCTAAGTTCACTGAGGTTCTCACTAAGTTCATTGAGCATCCTTATAAGCAGTATTTTGAACTCAGTATCTGTTAGGTTGCTTATCTCCCTTTCGCTTAGTTCTTTTATTGGGGTTTTGTTCTGTTCTTTCATTTGGGACCTGTTTCTTTGTATCCTCATTTTGGCTGCCTCCCTGTGTTTGTTTCTGTGTATTACTTAATGAGAGGTATGGGGCTCGCTGAGACCCGGTGCTGCTCGTTTGAAAGAATTTAGGAAAAACCTGAAGCAGGATCCAAGACCGGCCAATCCTATGGTTAAGCAAGTGGCAACCGCTTGAAAGTTGTGTGGGGCGGGGCCTCAGGGAGTCAGCAGGGCGGGGCTACGAGTGTGAGCCAGGTTGCTGGAGTCCCAGATATGGCTTCTGTCTGCCGCCCCCGGGAAGGGCTCACCAAAGGAACAAAGGCCTCTGACAGCACGTTTGTCCCCGAGGAAGCCCCCTCTCCAGCTCTCGCTCCAGTGCCAAACAGCTCAGTTCTTCCCTGTGTGTCTCTGGTGCCCCTCGAGCTGCCTCCCTCCGAGCTTAGAGGGAGAGAGTCCGATAAGTCCGTGCGCGGGCCCTTTAAGGAGCTTCCTGGGGCTCCAGCCGCTTCAGCCTCCCTGAGCCTCAGTTCCCGCTGGTTTTTCCAGCCAGAAGTTATGGGGACTCTCTTCCTGGCACTGGAACCCTGAGCGGGACACCTGGTGTGGGACGGGGACCCCTCAGTCCTCAGGAAGGACCTTCCCAGCCGCGGGATCCTCCTGATTTTTATCCACCACGCTTGGGTGTGGGACCAGCCCGTTTCGCCGCTGCGCGCTCCGCTGCCGCTGCGCCGCCGCCCCTCCTACCGGTCTGGATGTAGCTGCTTTTTTTTTTTTTTTCCTTAGTTCCGTAGTTGTACGACTTCCATTCAGCTTGATTTCAGGCGGTTTTGAATGATGGTTGTTCTGTAGTTTAGTTGTAACTTTGATGTGGTTGTGGGAGGACGCGATACCGCGTTTACCTTAGATAATAATTTTTTTTAAAGGGAGTCTGAGAAGTGTTAAGTTTGCCCCAGGTCACATGGCTCAGAGCATGGAAGTCAGCGGATGCCTGAGTTTGGGCTGACACCTTTTAGAGAGTGACAGTACAAAAGGGTGTCGAAGGTGAGAGGCACTGAGAGGTCAGGTCAGAGGTCATGATTCCTGTTGAGCTGTATTTAGTAGTGTTCCCCACCAGTGTCTTTGCCTCTGGAATGGGGGGTAAGCTTCTCCTGCTCATGGTCACACGGGGGATGGAAACAAAGATCACAGTGATGATGAGTCAGCGTGGACCACTATCAGCAGGACGCAGGAGATCTGTTTATTCTGCACACGTTTTGAAGTGCATACCAGAAACATACAGTGAGGCAGGGCACCCTCTCGGCCCTGCAGAAGCTCCGAGTCCAGTGTTATCTACTTCCTAGAGCAGTCTGTTCTCAGATTGGTTCTGGGCTTGTGGAAACAGCTTGCAGACTCCCACCACCAGGATGCCGCCTCCCTGGATCATGCGCCCCCAGGTGCAGCTCACAGCTAGGTCCCAGGAGCACACGTAGAGAATGGCGGTGTTACAGTATCCAAATACCATCTGCTTCAGGATCCTGGGGTATACTTTCGCTCAAGTCCCACTATGTCCAGAAAAAAAAAAAAGTTCAAAATGTTCATCTTCTCTTATCACTACATCCATGTGAGTGGTATTATAATAAAAGCCACAGTTATTTGTCCATCTGGGCCATAGATATGCTGGGTATATGACAGTCATCACCATCCTGTTCCCTCCCGAGGAACCGGTGACAGGTTTGATGATCAGTAGTTGGTGCTGATGTGAGGGTCTCAGGGAAGTCAGGAGTTGACAGAGCACACGAAGCTGACAGGTGCTGGGCTGGGGTCAAACCTGTCCCCGTTACTCCAAAGACTCTGAATCTGCCCCTCGGCTTCGCGGCTGAAACCGGTTCCTCTGATGGTGGTGATGGGGAGGCGGGGGCCTGTGAGACCAGCCTCCGAAAGCCTGAGTAAAGAACTGACTGCATTTCATGTTCCCCCTTTTCTTCCTGCCGGTGAGGGAACTGCCTGGGCGGATCAGACAGCGGCTCAGGCAGCGGGGGTGGCGAGGAAAGGTGTCCGCTGCCCTGGAGCCTGGGGCCGGCTAACAGCACCCGAGTTGCCTCTGGAGTGAGCGTCCCGCCCCGGCCTCACCTAGCCCCAGCCGTGGAGGGACAATGTCACCGCAGCTGTGCAAGGATCACATGTCGGCAGCACCACCCGCAGGAGATCAGGGGCATGGGCCTCCCTCTGCGCTGCCTGCCGAATCCCCAGCGCGCTGGTCGTCATGGCGACGAGGGCCCTGTTTGAGCAGGTGCCTTCTGGTGTCTCAGACACGGGTGACTCAGACGACGAGGGACACGACCGAGGATCTGCAGCCGGCCCTGCCGCTCCGGCAGGAGGGCTCTGAAGCCCGTGGGGCTCCGGGCAGTGGTCACAGAGTTAGGAAGGCGGAAAAGTCAGAAATCCAAGTCAGGTCCTCTTGAGAGAACTCCCGGTCCCCAACCCCCATGGCTTCACCTGGTCTGGAGGTGCAGGTCCCAGACTTGTCCTGGCTGCTCAGCGGCGATGCTTTCTGAACCTCAGGAGGAGCACGACGGTGTGTTCTCTCCTGACTCTCCTCCCAGCTCCTCCCTGTGCAGAACACAGGAGCCAGCTAGACGCAGGGGGATTCCCAGCCCTGCTCCGAGTCAGCGCGAAGTGGCAGAAATAGGGCAGTGACCCCAAAGAATGAGCATGCTTTCGAGTGTGTGTGTGTGTGTGTGTGTGTGTGTACACGCGCGCGCTCAGGGGGTGTTTTTCCTTGAATAACAATTGCCTTTCTTAAGCACTTGGAAGTTTTTTCTTTTTTATTAATTAATTTTTGTTACAGATGTTTCTCCTTTTTCCCCCACTGATTCCCCCTCCCCCTCCCTCCCTGCCCTTTCCCCAGTTTGTTGTCCGTGTCCACTGTTCATGCATACATGCATATACGTTCTGTGGTTTCTCTCTCCCCCTTTTCAATTGGACTTCAGGGTGCTTTGCAGGAGTAAAAGAAACCAGTTATGAAGTTGAAAGTCACCTCACCTGAACTTCTACCATGGACAGCTCCCACACCCAGGCCCATTGACTGCCCCTCACCATTCCATCCTCCGTCTCCTCTCACCAACTGTACCAACAGGAGACGTGGAATACCTGCCCCAGAAGGAAAAACAGAACCATAACATTCTGAGCACTATTAGTCTGCTATGTGCAGAAACTGCATTTCTTTAATATGACCTGTTTCTTTTTCTTGTCTTTTAATTCCAGCTGGCCCCTCCAGCACCCTGCCTCGTCCAGCCCCCTGCCTCCTCCAGCCCCTGCCTCGTCCAGCCCCTGCCTCATCCAGCACCTGCCTCGTCCAGTCCCCTGCCTCCTCCAGCCCCTGCCTCGTCCAGCCCCCTGCTCGTCCAGCCCCCTGCTCGTCCAGCCCCTGCCTCGTCCAGCCCCCTGCTTGTCCAGCCCCTGCCTCTTCCAACCCCCTGCTCGTCCAGCCCCTGCCTCTTCCAGCCCCTGCCTCGTCCAGCCCCCTGCCTCGTCCAGCCCCCTGCTCGTCCAGCCCCCTGCTCGTCCAGCCCCTGCCTCTTCCAGCCCCCTGCTCGTCCAGCCCCTGCCTCTTCCAACCCCCTGCTCGTCCAGCCCCTGCCTCTTCCAACCCCCTGCTCGTCCAGCCCCTGCCTCTTCCAGCCCCTGCCTCGTCCAGCCCCTGCCTCGTCCAGCCCCCTGCCTCGTCCAGTCCCTGCCTCTTCCAGCCCCTTGCTCGTCCAGCCCCTGCCTCGTCCAGCCCCCTGCTTGTCCAGCCCCTGCCTCGTCCAACCCCTGCCTCGTCCAGCCCCTGCCTCGTCCAGCACCCTGCTCGTCCAGCACCTGCCTCGTCCAGCCCCTGCTCGTCCTGCCCCTGCCTCGTCCAGCCCCCTGCTTGTCCAGCACCTGCCTCGTCCAGCCCCTGCTCGTCCTGCCCCTGCCTCGTCCAGCCCCCTGCTCGTCCAGCACCTGCCTCGTCCAGCCCCTGCCTTGTCCAGCCCCTGCCTCGTCCAGCCCCCTGCTTGTCCAGCCCCTGCCTCGTCCAGCCCCTGCTCGTCCAGCACCTGCCTCGTCCAGCCCCTGCTCCTCCAGCCCCTGCCTCGTCCAGCCCCTGCTCGTCCAGCCCCTGCCTCGTCCAGCACCTGCCTCGTCCAGCCCCCTGCCTCGTCCAGCCCCCTGCTCGTCCAGCCCCTGCTCGTCCAGCCCCTGCCTCGTCCAGCACCTGCCTCGTCCAGCCCCTGCTCCTCCAGCCCCTGCCTCGTCCAGCCCCTGCTCCTCCAGCCCCTGCCTCGTCCAGCCCCTGCCTCGTCCAGCCCCTGCTCCTCCAGCCCCTGCCTCGTCCAGCCCCTGCTCCTCCAGCCCCTGCCTCGTCCAGCCCCTGCCTCGTCCAGCCCCTGCTCGTCCAGCCCCCTGCCTCGTCCAGCCCCTGCCTCTTCCAGCCCCTGCATTGTCCAGCACCCGCCTCGTCCAGCACCCAACTCACCCAGCACCCAACTCACCCATCTCCCTCTCCCTTGCATAACCACTCCTTTAACCATTAAGTCCTCAGGACAATGAGGTTTTGATCAAAGTTAAATAATCTTAGGAACAAAGCCTCAGTGTTTGAACAGAGACAGAGTTTCAGCCAAACTAAAGATAACTTCTAGCCTCAGTAGTGTTTCAGCTCCAGGCCCCGAAAAGCAGTGAAAATGTTAGAGTAGGTAGCTAACTATTAATAAAGGAAGGAAGAAAATGGAATCAGGTTTTAAAAAGCCTAATCTACCAGGAAGCTACAGCTTCACACACTCCCCAGGGGATCACAGCATTTCCCCACAAAGGGGGTTAGCACCTCTCCCTCCTGATTAGGGAGAAAGGAAGGACCAGCTGCCAATCTCCCTGGGGAACTGCCCTAAGGGGAAGGAAGAGGGGAAATTCCTCTGCTGAGCACATGCCCAGTAGAAGCCAAGATGACAACTACAAAGGCCTGTCAGTCTAGCCTGGGGAAAGGATCTGATTGGATAAGAGGCACAGAACCCCAGAAGATCTAGGGACTGGATCAGTTAAGGGAAAGACCCACTTAGCCCAGGAAAGATTGGGAAGTTGATTGATTAGTTTGAATAAGTGTCTAATGTTTTTCAAGACCGAGATAATATAACCCAAGCTTAACAAAGCGCTCTCTCTCTCTCTCTCTCCTGGTAACATGTGCTTGCTGGGGCGGGCTGGGGTGCTCACATTTCTCTCCATAGCAGCTTTGTGGCCCTAGCAGCCACCTTCAGACCGCGTGGACTAGGCCACAGCGTCCAGGAACACACCTGGAAACAGAAGCTAAGCTGACCAGATGGGGATGGAGACGTAGACTGAACCAACAGCACAGATATCTGGACACTGGCCCTATTTCTGGGCCTGATGAAGCCAAGGCTGGACTTTTCCACAGCGGGTTGGAGCTGAACGTGGGACAGCCCCTTGCCAGCCACCACCTCCCACGCGTGGGCCCTGGGATGCCTTCCTCATGACTCTGTGAAAGGGTCCGTTCCACCAGCAAGAAAGCCAGACGGAGACACCAGGGCTGACAGGACCAGCCGCACTGATCCACCGCCCACCCTAATGCCGACCAATCAGTGGAGACCACGACCCTGAGCACAACCCTGACTCCCTGTCACCATGATGAGCGATGTTTTCCTACATGGTCCCTGAAGCCATCGGGAGCCAGGTCTTTGAGTATTAGCTCACCTGTCCCCAGGCACGGGCCACTCCCCCCACTAGTAACCCCTTACTTCCTTTGCTGCAAACTCCTGTTTGGGTCTTGTTGGGCTTTGATGCTTGCAGGGAGACAGACCCTTCACCCAGTTACACAGGCGTTGGGGGAACATTTCCTCATGAAATCCGACAGTACAGCATCTGGAGGTCAGTGCAACTATCTCTATTTTACAGAAGAGATATTGGACTTCAAAGCGCTTAAGCAATTTACCCTAAATCAGAGACAGAACATGGGTCCATATGCAGGTCTTTATTGTCACTAAACTCCCATTTTTATTCCTATGACACTGGCACACCACACTGTCCCTCAAAAAGGAGAAACTACCCTCTCGTCTCTGGTGATTTTGAAATTTAACTGTTAAGACTTAGAATCTTGCTATTTTTTGATGCCATGTCTGAAAACCCTTATCTCAATCTTTATTGCTAATAATAACCAATATTTGTTCGATGATTTTACTATGTCCATTTCATACCTCTATAGCATTAGAAATATGTAAAAGAATTGCATTTACTTTTTTAAAGGTATATAAATGTCGGCTTCAGGAGATTGTTTGCCCAAGGTCGCATGGGTTATGTAGGTGTGAGTCAGAATCTGAACCCAGGTCTGTCCGCTTCCAGAGCAGAGCACTGACTTCCTATGCTATGCCATGGGACACAGTTCTTACAAGCTTTCTGGGGGGGGGGGGGGGAGGCAGAGTTATTATATATTTTTTTCTCTTGGTTCCCATGGAAATAAAGCTAAACCCCAGGGTATTTGAGGCTTAAGCAAGGGTATTTCAAGAAATGTAAGAAGCCTTCCCTTTATGTTTTGTGGGGTTTTGTTTTGTGTTGTTTGAATTCTGGAACGTCCCCAGTGCCTATTGTTTGGGATTGGATACGTTGTATGGGCAACCTAAGTCTGCGACTGAAATGACTTTCACAAAAGCTTTCCATCCAGGGTGTGCTCCACAGAGATCAATGCACTTAATATTCATTTCAGGCTAATTAGCTAAAGCAAGGGTCCCATGAGCACCAAGAGCCAGGAGAAGGGACAATTCAGGACATCTTAGTCTAATTCCTCTTTAAATGCTAATAGCTTTGAGATTATTCTATTAACAGGCAGTATTAGAAAAGGGAAAAAAGGGCCTGTTTCACTTAATAAAGGGATCACCAAATGGCTCAGGATGCTTGTAACAGCCTGAGTAATTGTCTATTCATTTGGGTCGAACTACTGCGGGCATCAGGAAAATATAACTAAGTAGAGCAATCCATGTTATGAACAGCCTGCAACAGGGCTTCATTGTGAAACATCCGCTGATCCCCGTGGGCTTACTTGCCTGGTAGAAAATAGATCAGCCCTACAACAGAGAGTGGGGACACCTTCCCTTGGATGCGCCATATGGAACATAAAAGGCTAATGCAACACATCCTGCCACCTAAACAATGTGTTTGGGTAAAGGGGCAAAGGAGTCTGGGACTGGACACTGCATCTCCTCTAGAAAACCGAAAAGACTTGTGGTCAGATCCTGGTTTCTCCTTAGTAACCCCAAATACACCTGCCCGAGACCGCAAGAGTTTTGTAGCTCTATGGCTCTCCCGCTATTTATTAGAATATTAATGGGAAAGTTATCTCACTGTTCTAACTCTTGGTTTTCTCACCTAGAAAATGAGCACAGTCATAGCATCAAGCTCACAGAGTTGTTGTGAGGATTAAATGTGTGCAACGAGACCGAGCCATAGCAAATGTTCAACAGTAGACATTCAATAGGTGGCTGTAACTGTTACCTGGCTCAGTTTCAGAGGCTGGCTCTGTCAACGACACCTGGGAGGGTCAGGGACAAGGTGATCATCTTAGGAGATGAGGCATTTATTATTCAAGAAGGATCCATCCAAAGAGCAGGTCCTGCCCAAAGAGATGGAGTATACACTTGTTAGGTGAGTGGTAGCATCAGCTTATTCTTGGACTTTAATTTTTTTACTTTCATAGAGAGTCAGAAAATAAGAGAGCCGCCCTGGCCGGTTTGCTCAGTGGTTAGAACGTTGGCCCACAGACCAAAGAGTTGTGGGTTCGATTCCGGTCAAGGGCATGTACTTTGGTTGTGGTTTGGTCCCCGGTCCTGGCTGGGGTCGTGTGGGAAGCAACCAATCGATGTGTCTCTCTCACATCAATGTTTCTTTCTCGTTCACTCTCCCTCCCGCACTGTCTGAAAATAAATGTAAAAATATCCTCGGGTGAGAATTAAAAAAAAAAAAGAAAAGAAGAGAGCCATTTGGGGAGGGAGTTGGCGAAAACTCTGCCGTGTTTCTGTCTCCAGCTGAACAGGCAGAGGTTCGGCAAAGATGCACAGTTCTAACAGCTGTACACGCTCTGTCTCGGCCAGGACTGTGGCTGAATCCAGAAGAGCTTCTGAAAATGTGGAGGCTAGATCCTAATCCAGATGTGCTGAACCAGAATCTCCAGGTGATAATACCAGGGAGTGTGGCTTTTCCAAAATTTCCTCCGGACACGGGGACACGTTCTGTGGGCTGGAGTCCGAACAGCACTGAGCTCAGGAAGTGGGTGAGAGCCTGCTGCACCACGTCGTCACCTTTGTGCGGGGACCTGTCCGAACACCTTCCACAGTGCAGCTTGCGCTGCTGTCTCATAGGGATGTACCCGAGGCCCACGGGGACAGTCACTCGGCACAACACCGAGAGCCTATGTGCCTCACGCCTGCGTCCCTCTGCTATTGAGCTATAAGCAAATGGGAAATAAAAGACGGTTCTTCATAACAGCCTTTGCTGTCCCATCAGGCCTCCTTTGTCCTCATCCTCCTCTTGCCTACAAGTAGGGACCAGAAGTAGCGCAACAGGAGTTTTCAGCAGATATATATAAAACGCTAGTGACCACGAGCACACCTTAGATGTGACTGTTGGACTTCCACTGCAAATGGCCGCCTCAGCCCGTTCATAAAGCCAGAATCAGGGTGGCATTTATTTCAGATATTATTTTTGTCAAAGTGCCTTCAGAAGGTAGAACATAAATACATCCAGGAGTGGAACTTCTGGGTCATGAGTCCGGTATACGTTTAGCTTAGGCAAATACGCCCCAAAGTTTCTCAATGCAACAGAACCAATGTACACTCCCTCCTAGAATATGTGAGTTCCAACTCTTTCGTATCCTCATCAAGATACAGGCTTTTCAGATTTTAATTTTAGCCAGTCTGGTGAAGGTGTACTGGGATCTCATTGTGGGTTTAATGTGCATTTCCTTATGTGTAATCATTTCACATTAAGTTCCTATTTGAGTGTTTTACACATAATGCAACAATTTCACTCTTAAGTGTACGCCCCAGAGAAATGAGCACACATGTCCACCAAGAGGCATATATAAGCAGCTTTATTTATAACAGCCCTGACCTGGAAACAATCCAAGTAGGCCATCCACAGGAGCATAGATAAATCGGGGTATATATTTATGCAATGAAATATACACAGCAAGAAAAATAAAAACTACTAAAACATGCAGCATCATGGGTAGACCTCACAAATACTACGTTGAGGAATAACAATACCAGACACAAATAGGAACGTACTGTCTAATTCCATTTGTGTAAGTTCGTGAACATAGCAGACAGCAACGGGAGGTGGAGTAGCAGTCAGCTCAGGTGGTGGGGGGTGTAACCAGGCAGGCGCCATGGGTGCGTGTCTCACAAGGCGCCACCCTGACAAAGGTCCTGTGCTTAGTTTAACGCTCTGCTCTCACCACCTTGGGATTCTTCCTACTTTTAGAACACAGGGCCCCGTGTTTTCATTTCGGACTGTGAGCTGCCAATTATGCAGCTGGTCCTTGGTGTAATCGGCTAGAAATGGCACAAGGGAATCTCCTGGGTGTTGGAAACATCCTACACCTTGAACGGGGTGGAACTTACATGGGTATGTGTTATTCCACGGAGCTATACACGTAAGGTGTGTGCACTTTACTGCATGTAAGTTATAACTTAATAAAGGAAGTTAAACAAAAACATAAACGAATAAATAGAACATACAGCGAGGTGCAGAACAATCTTACCTGAATCGCCAGAGGCTCTCCTGCACTGCTCTGGGGAGGATCTTCGCCCTCAGTGACTGCAGCTGTGAGAAAGAACAGGGACGGATGAATATTACATATACTGAGGCTCTGCTGGGCGCCAGGCACCACAGAAATCACTGCACACAAGCGAGGTCAGCAAAGCTTCTCCGCAACCTTGTGAGATAGACAGCATTAGCCTCAGTTTATACACAAAGAAAAGTGGGTTCAGAGTGGTCCGTAACTTGCCCAGTGATGCACAGCATGTCAGTGGCCACATGGAGTTTTAACCCACAAGCATCTGCTTCACAGACACATTCCTTCCACACCATTGTGCTACCTCAGCCAGTAAAAAAATCCCCCGGTCCTGGCGTTCGGGAGTCAAAACAGCTGACCACACTCCACCAGTATTTCAGTGTGACATTTTGAAATATGTCAGAGGCTAAAGGCAATGTGGAGACATTCCTTTCCTGCCCTGGCAGGCACGCTGTGCCCTCCCAGGGCACGGGATTCGATTCTACCCAATGAACAGCACTGCAGGTGTTAGTCCTGGAAATACAATGACCCGTCTCAAGTATTTGACTCAAGGACGTGGCTCAGCCTGTGATTCTCCAGCTCGCCGATGGGCCGTAAGAAATAAGCATTGTTATGTGACCTTCAAAACATGACAGATGAGTAGCAGAATAAATGATTCATTTAATGAGCTTAGATATACAGGGCTTTCCCCGGCTTCAGCACTGAGGTCTTATTGATGGCCTGGTCTTAACCGAGTTTCATTGTGTGGAAGCTTTGAAAAGCCATTATGGTCAAAACGTGTCACAGGACTTATTATTAGAATGCTTTGAAAATTGTCTATGTAGAAAACAGAAGCAGGGAAACTATTATGTCTGTTATATAAATACCCTCCCCCCCAAAAAAAAATTTACTTAAAACATAGATTTTTAAATGTTTGACAATACGGAAATAAAAATGGAAAAAATCGGTATTTAATCTAGTCTAAAAATACATGAGCCCTTTAGACAATTTTTATCCAGTGGATTGGTCAATAAACATGCATGAAGCATCTTTATAAATATGTCAGTGTGCTAGGGAGATTTAAGCTCGTAAAATGGATAAGACATACATTTGACCTTCTGTGAGATAAGAGTAGATAATATTACATAACATGTGCCCTGCATGTCCATACCAGAAAAGATGATAGAACATATTAAAGAATCGTAGCATCAAGAGAAGGTATGACGGCCGGACCGAGCCCGGACCAGGGATTGCCCCATTCACGTGAAATCAGTTATGTGATCAGCGTAGTTACTGTTATTTGTTGTTTCCTCCAGGCAATCTTAGAAGCCATCCGTCTTCATCACTTAGCCATGTCCCCTTCAGTCACTACCACCTCATTGTGCTTCTCCCTCCTCTTTCCTCCCCTGGGTCAGAATTCTTGGGAGAGAGTAAAGGAGGAGATACCCGGGAGAGTGTGCAACCTCTGTGTCCTGGTTTAAGATCAAAACCTTTCCAAATATTTCAGTCTCTCTTTGGGTAACAGGGACATGAAGAGGTTCTGTAGTCTACACAAGACGGGCAGCAATGGTTGAGAGTCCAAGGCAGCGAAATCCGCGGGTTGTTGCTTTCAGATCTGACACAGGGGAATCTTCTTCCCAACAAAGACACTTAAAAAACCCATCATCTTTTCACCGTGAGGGAAAAAAAAGACACAGCAGGCTCAAGCCAAAGAAGAAAGAAAGAGGAAAGAGGGGAGGTAAGGGAGGGGAAACGGAGGGAGATGGAGAGAGAGGAGCAAGGCAACAATGTATGTTGGTTCGCAGGTTTCAACAGGAAATATTGAACCATCTTGGTTTAGTGGTCCGGCTCTCAAGTCAGGAAAGGACACAGAATGGATGTGGAAATGGGCAGTCATCACTAACATTTATTAAGCACTTACGATGTTCGGGCATCATTCCAAGCTCTTCATAGTTTAACTCATTTATTCCTCGTGACAAGCCTGGGAGGTGATACCGTAATCACAGCCACTTCCAAAGGCGAGGGGAACGAGGACAGACTGTTTACATAAAATGTGCAGTCACATCACATGCTCATCGTTGGTGACCCTGAAATCCAAACCCGGGCACACCGGCTCCAGAGCCGTCACTCGAACAGGAGGCTGCATCGCACCGGACAACAAAACCAGGGGACATAGAAAAAGGGGTGAAGGTTGGACACGAAGTGTCTCCAGGGCATCTGTGGGCCAGTTTGGTCTCTGCCTTCACCACGTGATCTGGTTACCTCAGTGTCTGAGGGATGCCCTGACTACGAAGGTTGAAATAAGGTGGAATCGAGTCCTAACATAGATAAGGAAAGCTGGAGAAATCAAGTGATTCCTCCTAAATTCAGAGCAGAAAAACAGCCTAGAGACACTAAGCCCTCTACAGAGCCATGCCAACATGCTCCTAAGCCCAACCCTTCATCTCCTCCACCCCCACTATCCACCAGCCACAAGACCTGCATTGCCCGTCAGCCTGTTCACTACAACCCAGAGACAGTCTTCAAACAGCAGAGGAGAGACAGCCGTAAACAGGACCTAGAACACCCTTCAATCCCCAGACGTGTTATTTTGGATGAGGAGTCTGAGGCCTAGAAAAGCAAAAGATTGGCCACAAAGTCTTTTCTATGGGGTAGTTAATTTCTTCTACATCCTACTTCAGTTTTCCTCCCGTGTAACACAATGTCGCAGATACTCGCTCTCATAGCTAAGACACTTTATCAGCAATGGCGTGTATTAGATCGTAACTGGATAATCTCCCACCTTAAATTTTCACATTGAATTCTCAGGAAGACTCATGAAAAACACATTATGATCATTTTTCTAAGTCAGGGTGTACATGTTTGTGTGTGTGTGTATATATACACGCAATTATATATATACATATATACACTATATATAAACACACACATAAAGATCTGTAATATTTAAGAAATACAAATATATCTTTTTTACTTGTCTACATCATGCCATAGCCCTTTATTTAAAATTGCTGTGCAAAATTAATATGCAAAAAGCCTTAATTTGAAATTACTGGCATAAAATATTCATGACAATGAGAAACATTAGACAAAGTCATCCAAGTAAATGATCTTTAATATATCCCCCAAAGTTTTGCCTACTGAGACTGCAGTTACTAGAGTCAATTTCTTATCTTGCTTTTATTTATTATTCAAGAGCAAAAGACAATGAAGTTAGATTGGATTTCAAAATGTCTGGAAGGTGCAGCAGCATCTTGCTCCAGACCTGAAAGTTGGGGGAACGAAGGCTAAACCTTCACCACAAGAGTCCAGAACAGAGATGAAGGTGGGTGATAGGGCAGGTCAGAGAACCCAGAGAGACTCCTTTCCGAATTTCAGACAAATTAATTAAGAAACCGGTGTCTGGGGAAAACATAACCAGCTACTAAAAGAGAGAGTTAACAAATCCAAACTAAGCAAAGCTATGTCAATCCTAGGCCTACGTGAGCATCACTGAGCTCTGTTCTTGAAATAACAAGTTGATTATTTTTATAGCTAAGAGAGTTTGGCACACTCCTGGCTGTACATACACACTTCATGAGCATCCTTCTCCATGTTCCTTCTTAAATGGTGCTTGCTATATATTTTTTTAAAGTCATTTTCTTTCCCCACTAGGATCAAAATGGTCGATTCTAGAC